TTGTTAGAGAAGTCAATTCCAAAAAAACCTCAAAAGGAAAGTAGAGCAAATAATCCATATAGTCATTATTAAGAAAGCAATACAATTGAAGAGATCGTAAAACATGAGTAATCAAATGAAACCCAAAAGAGGTTCAACGACCCTCGAATACTTAAAATAGATTTCAGAACAGGTTCAAGTATCTAGAAATAGTAAAAATAAATAGATCTCATGAAGTTATGTCACCTTGAAAAATAGATAGAATCAAAAAGAAAAAAATTTATCGAAATAGAAACCGTGGCTACAAACAAAAAGAAGCCTTGTGCCTACTCTTTAATGTTGAAGCCAAATATTATTGCGATGTGTCAAATGATCATTTTAGGCATTTACTACTTTTTTGTTTGTCATGGATGAAAATGATAATTTACTTGTCATTGTTTTATCCATTACTATTTACTTTTGTCATGGACGAAAATAATAATTTTATTGTTGTAAAGTTTCATTTAATATCTTTGTCTTAGTGCCCTTTATCTTTTATTTCATTATGTTTGATTTTTTTGTCTTTTTACTAATTAGTCTAACATTTTGCTCGACTTCTATCGATCTCAATCAACTTTCATATAACTTGTACATTTTGAGTCTTATCTCTAATTTTAGATCAAAGTAAAGCTTAATTTGAACCTCTAACAATAACTTGATTAGGTATTTCTATATATTAAATCTTCGATTTTATCTAGTCAAGTTATTGTATAAAACATATCTCAACCAATAAATTACAAAGACAATGATGTATGAGGTTAAAAGAAAAAAAAAAAAAGCGCAAGTAGAGCCATACATTATTAGTGAGGTGTGTTGGAACAAAAAACTAAAGTTCGGATTTCTTAGTGATTGGTGCGAAAGTATGCACAACAGCGACGTACAAGATCATAATTGTAGTGGGTGATTAGGCGTGCAAAAATAGCTTGTGGAATAACGTTAATTTGTCAGTCTCACGAATGTTTAGCACTAGTTTACGTGACAATAAGATCACAAT